CGATTTTCTCCTGGCATTGGGAGGATTTGGGGTTTATGTCCTCTCCAGATCCAGGACCGCTCTGCCTGATCCTCAATGAGTGCAGTTGCCGGGGGCTAAAGCATCCCAGAGGGAAGGAGAAGAGGTTGAAGCAGGCAGTTTTAGGAGAGGAGCCTGTCTTCTAAGATGCTCTAAATTGCTACAGCCCACCTGAAATGCCATCACCCCAGAACTTTGGGAATCAAACCCCTTGCTTGGGCGACTGATGATGGATTTGACAGGTATCTGTACGAGGAAAGAGAGATCTAGAAGAGAAGAGGGGTCGTAAGAGAGGAATGGGTAAGCTAAGCAGAGGATAACGGCAGAAAAAAGGACATTATGGTCCTAGGACGTTTCAGGAAGGATGTTTCCATAAGGAATAAGGAAGAATTTGTCGCTGGAGCACCAGGTGCTGGTGTGACCTTGCTGGGACACTGTGGTCGGTTCAGTCCAAGGATAATAAATTCAGCCTAGAGCTGAGGAGGGTATTTTATGAGCTAAGCCTACAAAGCTTGGCTTGCAAAGTTTAGCAAAATAAGGCTAATAAGAACAACTCCTGTCTACCAACAGATGGGAGGGAAGGTATAAACCGAGGAGAGAGGAAAGCTGTTAAACTAAAGAACAACATTAGCACAAGGACAAGTGGGGGCAACTCTCCTGCAATAACTGGGGTTGGAGACCAGGCGAGCCCAGCCCTTGGAGGGAGGAGGTTTTGGAACAAAGGAGCAAACCCCCATTGCAACACGTACCTGGTGATGTTCGTGCATGGGGGAGCAGCCTATGGCATCCTGCATCCTCTCAAAGTGCCTGATAAGAGGAAATATGTCGATAAAATACAATTATCCCTGATTGGGGAACAGCGCTATTCACAGCACAGGGTGTGGGAGCGGTCCAGCCACAGGTTGACCCTAATAATTTCCCCCTGATGGACTACAGAAGCGCATCTCTCTGGGGTACCATCATGGATACGGTGACAGAGAAGCTCCCATAAGGTTTATTTTCTTATCCCACTACTCTTTTTTAGAAGTTAAATTAAGATGGCTATGCTGCTATGATTAATTAAGGGCTTTTTCCTACCCGGTAATATCCCGAAGGCTTTGGCATTGTTTGAAATTCCAATTATTCAACTCAAACCCAGCGATGGCAGCAAAACGACAAAAAAGAAAGGTGGGGGAAAAGCCGGGGCCAGACTACCGCCTTAATGAGCTGAAACCCAGGACCCGGCTGTACGGGCGCCAAGGGAAGTCATCTAAAATGAATGTCACACCTGGTTATAAATAGGGTGGCATGCGTCTCTGTGCCTATTAACATAGTGACACGTCCCACGGCGATGGGTTAACCCTTTCCCGTGCCCTCCCCTGAGGTTAAATATAGGCAGCCTCTACCCAGCCATGGCAGCATCCTTTTCTAGCTCCATCCGTGGATGGAAATCACCAGTATATAGAAAATTAACCACGGCCGCTGTTCAACATCAGGCTGTGCTTCCACCTAGAACATCGAGCAGCAGAGCCTGTCTGACCCAAGCAAAGATTTCCAAATTACCTTGTAACGAGCCCATGCTTATTCCAACGAGATAGCTCCAAAATCTGTGTTGCCATAAACCAAATTTCAGCGATCCTGTGTTTCGGAGGACAACACCGCACCTAGAGAGACAGCAGCGAGTTCCTATTATCTATGGTTATTATAGAGTTAAGGGAAGGAGCCAGCATCCCCTCTGTTTTAGCCGCGTTTAGGCCGTATGTCCTCCTAGCAAGCAGCAGAATTATCTATATGTATGTACATATAGAGAGGAGGTAGGTGCTCATATGCAGTCTGCAAAACAGAGACGATTCAAAATTTCTGGGGAATAATTTTTGCTCCCTGGGTTTTGTCTGCTCTGTGGCGTAATGTTTTGGCTTAGCATCTTAAAACTGAATTAACCATTTATTTAAAGGCTGAAGAAGCTACGGAAGGGGGAGATTTAAGAAATTGCTCTTGGAGATGGAAAAATATATATCCTGAGAAAAGTGCAAATAGAGACAAATGCAAAGAGGTAAGAGGCAGGAAATCCTTTATTGAAGGGGTAAAGGCAGAGTCACAAACAGACTGTTTTCAAAGTTAAAAACAAATACAAACAAAAGGCTAAAAACCAGAAAATGATATTTTTTTTTCTCCCCCCTTTAGAATAAAAGTCCAAAGCTTAATTTGGGTTGGATTCGTTACGCTTACACAGCTCGGTTGGCAATCGCACCCTGATTTGGGCGCACCAGGGAGGAGGGAAGACACCAGTCCTATACCAAAGTGGTTAAACGATGAGCAAAGACGTCCCCTCTCCGACCCCGCTGCAGGTTTCGGAGTGGGGATGTAGGAGCAGCATGTTAAAACACAGACAGTCTTTTTTTTTTTAATTTCTTTTTTTTTTTTCCCCTCTCCTTTCCAGACAGCTACTGTACAAAACCAAACAGAAATTTATAATAAATACCTAACACAAGAGGCTCAGTACATTGCTACAATCCTTCACTGAAGGGAAACATATATATACACATATATATATCCTAATATATAACCTCTTTGACTTAAATCAGCGTAAAGGCTACGTGTTTCTACGGGAAGGCTAAGGCAGGAATCCCACTTAACAACACCCAGACCCCACAACCAAACTGAGCATCACTGCCTGTGGTTCCCATCCTCCTCCTCACTGGAAAAACAGCAGGATTTGCCCACGGCAGGGAGTTTTTGCATCTAGGAAGCTCCGGCTAAGCGACTGCGCAGTGAATATAAAAAAAAAAACAAACTGGAAGAGACCCTTGGCGTGCACGACTACTGTGTGATAAATACAGATGTTTTCTCTGGCATCGTCTCAGGCTGAAATTTCTGACCCATCCTAAATGCTGATTACGCCGCTGGAGAGGAAACACACGCTGGCCTTTGAGTTAAAACCCTCGCAGACTCAAAGGGGAAAAAAGAAAATAACCCTGCAAGGCTACATGACTTTAGCATCCAGCTATTTGTTAGAGCGGGAGAGAGAGCTTAAATTCCTGGAGATTAATTAACAGACGAAGAACATTGCCCGAAGGTAGGTCTGAACAACAGCCCAAACAGCTCTGCATCCAAACTCTGCAGCTGGCCTTTATTCTTTTTTCTTTCCCATTAAAAAAAAAAAAAGGAGCCAAACCCTCGGTACCCTCAGTCCTTGGCTGTAGCTCCCTTGGTTTCGATAGAAATCACCTATGGGAGATAAAAACTGAATATCTGGGGTTTTCAAATAAATGGTAGGGTTTCTGGCATGGCTTTGGGGGAGCTGCTCACCCCCCAGTCCCATCCCGAACCTGCCTGGCCAGCGAGAAAAGGGTCTCACACGAGCTTAGCTCAGGCAAGAGAGACAAAAAAAAAAAGGATTCGCTCCGCAGTTGCAAATGGGGAAGCTCAGACACCGCAAATTCATGTCCTCCTCCTCCAGCCCTTCTCCCCTTCCTACAAGAAAAAGGTTGTTCCCGCTGGAAATTCAATGTTTGGCTGGCAAAAGGGGAGCCAAGACAGGGTAGGGGCATCTACGGGGAGGTGACGAGGGACATTTGGACAGAGGAGCCCAGAGCTACCAAATCGCTCATCCAGCGATGGCAAAACCTTCCCATATTCCATCCCCGCTCCCCAGGCACCGGCTGCTGCCAGCACACGAATGGTGATCGCTTTGAAAGGGGGAAAGTTCAGGGGCTGAGCAGCCATCTGCACCGGGCTGGGCTGGGGGAGAGGGGGCCTGGGCTGTTCCCCACCGGGAAAGAAGAGCTCCCGCCTTGCCAGGCTTGGGT